CAATTGGTACTATATTTGCTGCTGCCAATTAAAGCTGAAGCATGTTTATAAGTTTGCTTGCGTGCTACAGCTGCAGTTTGACAGGATTTATCAAATAAAGGAGCAGCATTAATTGTACTATTTGGAGTAATAAATAATATGTCATTGCACTGAAGTTGTATTTCTTATTGCGTCAATGTGAGACAAGATTAAAGTTCATGAACTAAATTATTACAAACATAAAGTTTTATGTGAACTTTGCATATTTTTACCAAAAAATTGCTTAAATTTACACTGTCTTTTTGATCGTGAATACACTAAATTTTAGAGTAGGCATTCTTAGTTGCAAACTGAAAATAGTAGAGCACTTGATCATGACAATATAATATGGTTTTTTGGTCTCCTCGAGAGAGGGGGGCAAAAGGGTCGAAAATGAGTTTTTTTTTGTTTTTGATATTGGAAGAAATTGAATTCTTTCCTGCCAACTTGGTAAAGCTTCAAAAGATGGCAAATACTTGTGTAAGTTTGGTCTCTGAGTCCACTTGTAGACTAAGTCGTATATGCAATATAACTATAACAATTCTCTTGTATCATTGTATATTATTATTCATATTACTTCTACTACATTGTTATACATCATCAGAGGTGTCAATTACAACCTAATTATGTTGATTTGTCCAAACTCGTCCATTAATTTTGAATGGGTCTAAATGGGTACTCAATTAATCCATTTAATTTGGAGGTTAATGCATTGATTCGGCTGACCCATTTGTACATATTTAAAAATAATTATTTATTTAAACTCAATTTTTAGTGAGTGTTAAGCAAATAAATTTAAATTTTTTACCAATTTAATAACAATAAAATACCATTATTTTTTGTTAAACAACATGCAAAAAAATAGAAAAAAATAAGTAAAATTTTAAATAACTCATGAATGAGTAACTGGATATACCCATACCCATTTAATAAATGCGTATGAATAGATACCCGTTTATTTAAATTAGTATATATGGTTGATCTAATTATACCAATTTACCTAATTATGATCCGCTCAAACTCACTTGAATTACCCATTTTGACGCCTCTATATATCACCATACCAATGTGGCTATAAAAATACACCACATAATCTATAAGTTAGTCTATAAATCAAGTCAACAGAATTTTTTTTTTTTCAGAAGATGGTGGTAAGGGCGTAAATTACAGAAATAGCATAAACAATGCTCAATCTCTTGGATAGTAATTATGACTAATTGGGTAGGTACTCCTTAGCTTATAGTCAAGGTTTAGTTAAAAAATGATTTAATAGAGTATGAGCCTGAAAATTTGGCACATTCGAAAAATTCTACGAGTTCAGCCCATTCTTAGCCGGATCTCAACAGAATCATTCTTTATTTATCGTTGTCTATGATCACTTGTATTTTTTTCATCTTTACTTATGTTTCGCTGTCTATGATTTCATTTTAGATTTTGCATATAGTTGTTCTTATTTGAATCTATGTAGTCGATCATGTTTATGTCCTTTCTTTGTTCTTAAGTATATGTTTGTGTGTACGTCGAAGCTTTCTTTTTTATCGTAAGGTAATCTTGCAATTGCCCTCAAATGGTAACTTGGTGCATAGTGTCTTATTAATTTTGGACAGCCAGAAATAGGAATTAATTATGCAGTTTGCTTTTAGATTGCAATTAATCATGTATCATTGTGCTTTACCATGCCAATAATCCTAGAAGAAATCATAATTTTCAAAGTGATAAATTCAATGTTTGTGGCATCAATTTTTGAGCAAGGGGACAATTGGGTCTCACCTGAAATTAAGTAATGGTATTGCTTATAGAGACTCAATGACTCACGCAGTTGTACAGTAAAAGATTTCCTTACCATGGGAATTAAATGGACTTCTAGCTTTAGAAGTACAATATTAATAATCAAAGTTCAAACTACTCCATTTACAATGTAGAGATAGTAATGAAAATACGATACACTTTTTAAAGTCATCTCATACTGCCATGCTTGAATACAAATGAAGATAGCACTAGACAATAATTGTAATATCATCCATGCTGGATAGCAAAGTAAAAAAAAAAAAAATTATTTTATAAATGCCAGTTAGTTGATCCAAAGTAAAAAAAAATTATTTTATAAATACCAGTTAGTTGATCACTGGATTGTAAGTAATTATAACACGTTATTTATTTGTTGCCTCTTCCAAAATTTAGTTTGAAAACAGATAATTCTCATACTTTTTTTTTTCCTTCAATGGGATATCCGACTGCATTGACACCCGACTAGTCCTCCACTGGGCCTTGACCCCCGCCCCACCAAGGAACCAGAGATTATTGACAAGGCGAGATTCGACCACACGACCTGAGGCCTAATGAGGATAATTCTCATACTTGATGGGGCGGGGGAACCGCTCGAGCTACCCCACGAGGGCACAAGACCAGCCACATAGTGTGGCCAATTTATGGGAGGCAGGGATTGAACCCCTGACCTCTAGCACCACTGTAGAAGTGATGATCACTGGACCAAATGGCCAGTGGCTGAAGGCTTCTGGTACAAGGAGAGCTAGTTCGATGATCGAAGAAGGGGCTAGGGGTGGCGTTGTGGCATGACAATGGGTCCTGTTCACACAACATATCAAGTGTACTAAAAGATGCTGAAAATCAGGAACAGGAAAGGTACACAACTCTGAATTCTTTCATCGATTGAGTTAAATTACTCTCTCAATTCTTACTCTTTTTTCTTTTTTGCTGTAAATCTAGGGAGAAATGAATAAAACTACTCCCTCAATTCTTGCCTTTTTTTTTTCTTTTTAGCATAGATTGTAGGGACAAAAAATAGGAGCAGATCCACAAATAATAATTTTGTAATTGATGGAAGATTGCCATTGAAAAAAATGCAGATCCCTTAAAGATTTAATTGCTTTATAACTTGAACAGAGGGTCTAAAGGGTCTTCATTAAGTGAACAACTTGAGATCTTTCGTGCAAGGCTAGCGATATTGTCAGAGTAAGAATTTTCTTGCAATAGCGATGTTGCATTAATTGTCAAAATTACCTTCAGAAGTAAACTCAAGTGTTTGGCATCAATTTTTGTGGGCCCGCTGCTTGCCCTCTTCGTTTTCTCTTTTCTTTCCTAGTTTGTCTTGCTCATTTTCACCTAAACATTCTCAACTTATTTCTCTGTTTTCGCTTTATTTGGTTGCAATTTCTTTTTGTGTGAACTAAAATTAAAAAGTACTAAAACCACAGGAACCCCATTATTATTGAATCCTATCCTAGGAAATCAGAAAACCAAATGCGGTAGAAAAAAAAATAGGAAGGATTAATTGATTCAAGTACTATTTTAATTATCTCCAAAGACAGATTGAGAGAAGGAAAGGTCATACAAACCCATTTGTCGGAGGAAACACAAGATGACATCAATTACGTGAACGAAACTAAAGATTCCGTCAATTCGAAATTGGGTATAGATGCAACTACAGAAAACTATCTCTAATCAAACCATCAAGCCAAGAAATCAACCACAGCCAAAGACAACAGTCGCGCTTGTTTTGTCGCTCTCACATCTTTTATTTCCTCTGCTTTCTTCGCAAAAAAAAAAGGCAAATTATACTTTACCCCCTTGTGGTTTAGTATTTTATTACATAACCCCATTATGATTTCAAAAATTACACAACCCTTTCATGGTTTGGATTAAAATATCAAAGTGACGGAATTTACAATCCGTAACGGAGTCAACTAATATATCAAAAATACCCTTATGTAAAGTTAAAAATTATTTATTAACCACAGGGGATTATGTATATATATTGAAAATCATAAAGGGGTTATATGATAAAATACTAAACCATAAGGGGGTTATATACTAAAATATAAAACAATACGGGGTTAGAGTGTTATGCATATTATATTTACATATTTTGGTCACTTAAACCACTTTAGTTTTTAAACAAGGGTAATTTCGACATTTTCATAGCTTCCATTACGAATGATCATTTCTGTCACTTTGATACTTTAATCCAAATTATGAAGGGGGTTATATATAGTTTTTAAAACTAGAGGGGAGTTATGTAAAAATTAGCTATACCATAGGGGTTGAAGTGTAATTTGCCCAAAAAAAAAGGAAATCATGGATTGTTAGTCCCGGCACTCTTAATGCAAATTTCTCCTAGGTGTTACAATCGCATAAAGTTCGATTCCTGTCCTGAACTGCTCAATGTAGGGTATTCGGCCAAGACAGTTTGTTACAATTTCTAGTTACCAGTTTCTCAGGATGTCTATGATGTAAGCATGCAAAATGCAACTTCCCTTCTTTAAGTCTAAAACACATGACCTATGTGTCTTGCAGTTTGTACTTGCTTTCCTTGAATTCCTATAGTATAGATGCCCCATTCCATGGCAAGAAGGCTTGATCACCATGTCCCAACTCGAGTTTGTAGGTCTATTTGTTGTAGAGTTAAATAATCAGATAGTATTTGTATGTTCCAACTGTAAATAGATAATTTCGTTATGTTTTGAATCATTTTGGGGAAAATTCATTTTATTCATCTTATATATATATATTTTTTGTGTTTGATTAAACTTTGTGTGGATTGTTTAAATTAGTGTAATTTGTATGTGCATTTATGAGGAACTTGGTACAGCTAGCTAAAAGTTCTCTGAACTTTGTTTTCTTGGAAGTCTAAGCTGAGGAAACAATTTATATTTAGGCTTGCAAAGAGGAGTAACTACTAAATGGACAAAAGAATGTTAGATTGGACACGTAAATACTGACACTAGTCCTAGACTCCTAGCAAACTCAGAAGCCAAAATGTTCACACACACACACATATATATGTTTTGCCTTCCTCCTATTCAACAAGCCAAGAAAAGACTCGAAAGAGTAGGCATAAAAATGATCACCCATTCCCAATTGGCTTTAAAGAGTTTGTTCCCTTAGCTATTTCCCAATAATCTCTTACTAGTATTTACCTACTACTAGTACTTCTTCAGCGTGTAGCTTCCCAACATCCTAAACATATGAATCGCCAGTTTTGCAGCATGGTCGAGGAGGAGCAATAGAACTGATCAAGAAAGCCAAGAAACCATGCATAATTAATTGCTGCTCTCTTTTTCAGATCAGATTTCCGGGGTGTGATGATGGCGTTGTACGTGTAACAGAAACAGCTAGCGTTCCTGTATTAACTGATCGATCTCTGAATTTAGAGAGAACGAGAGTTGCAGAAACTGCATTGAAAGAAAGAAACAAAGACATTTAGTGGGGAAGGATGGCGGTGAAGAAATGGATTCAGGGAGGAAGACTTGCTGCCGGCATGCTCACGATACAAGCAATCGCCACAGGGTTGCAGCTTCTGTCAAGACTGATACTGAACCAAGGCTCTTTCATTTTCGCTTACATGTTCTATCGGCATGTCGTGGGTGCTATTTGTGTTGCTCCTTTTGCTCTTTTCTGGGAAAGGTCGTAAACTAGTACTACCTCCGTCCCATTTTATCAATCTTGACAACAATTTTAGCTTGTTTTTGAAAATTGAAGAGTTGAAGTCGGGAGTGGGAGGAGAGCTAGCAGGGGAGTTAACAGTATATAACCAACGTTATATGATTCTTGATTGATTCTTGTTAATTCCCTTGCTAGCTCTTCTCCCACTCCCGACTTCACCTCTTCAGTTTTCTTTCTAGCTCCTTAATAACGTTGGTTTTATTGTTGTTCAAAATCCCTGATTTTGTTAATCATGCTGTTCTGTGACATGAAATGATGCTCGTAATTGGACCACAATGCAGAGGCAATGGAAAGAAGCTGAGCTGGTTGATTTTCTTCTGGCTATTTGTGGTTGCACTAACCGGGTATGCATCCCTACTCTTGTAGTACATTTCGTAATTAATCATGTGTTTCCTTTCAATAGCAACTAACAAGAGCAATAGTCTATACAAATGGACAAATTACTTGAGGAAACTGTGAGCTTCAGCTGCCCTTATTGTAAACTAACTTATTCAAGAATATGACCATATAAATTAGTAGAAGCCTGAAAAGGAGAACCTACAAATAGTATTGATGACTAACCTTTTGAAAAGCAGGGTAATTTGTCCAAGTTATAAATAACATTGTTAAGTTAGGTTGGCCTGTCAGAGTATGTGTCAGCATTCGATTATAGAAGATTAAACCTAGTGAGATTATAACTTGCATTTTTAACGCTAAAATTAACAAACAAAATTTACCCTATTTCCTTCTTTTTTTCTGCTGAGGATTAAAAGTATTTCCTGGATTCACTAGCTATATTCTTTCTTACTAGTTATTTTGTTACGTCCCGAAAATGTTAAAATCTAGTTCTCTAGATTGAGTGATAATTTTACACTCACAAGATAAGACCACTGCCAAAATGGCAAATTCCTAATCAATGAGACACTTTTGATGGCAAGATTAATATCAGTTACCCATAATTAATTCACAATGGCTTTGAGGATTAAATTATTATTTAAAAGCACCACAAAATCCAAGAAAAAAAAAGAAGCAATTCTCATACCAGTCGAGATAGCTAATCTATCAGTATTTGATTGGTATACAAAAGTAAATTCGTATACAATCTACTCCACTAGTCCAACGGAACTTGTATAGGGGCCAAAGGTGAGCCTACTATTATATCAGGTGAAATTTGAATTTTCAACATGGTGCATAGGAGAGCTTTAAGAATCTCTTCATGACCATTGGACCAAAGTTCAATAGTTACAAAAGTTAATTGGTAAAACGGTCAATGGAATTATAATTTGCCTTTCGTGCTTCCGTGGAGATTAAAAATCCCGGCCTGCTAGTTGTACTACAATGTACTAGTGCAGGAGTTAATTAGTTGCAACAATTCTTATTAGAAATTATTATAGCGACAGTGCAATCCTGGTCTCTTTTTCATGGGAAATGAAATGTAGTTCTAATAGTAAAACCACTACAAAAAAAAATGCTAAATAAGTGGTACCACTTTTTGGTTCACACTTCACAATATCAGGATGGGATAAGGATAAATGTGAAACGGAACCAAAATTAGAATTTTATGGGAATCCAAGGAAAAGATTTTTGTCCTTTACATTTCTTTCTTTAATCTGCTTCTTCTTCTTCTTCATTTTTTAAATGGATCCTAACTCCAATTTTAGAAACCTTCTTACTCTGACTATTTTCAAGTTTGCAAAGCCTTGAGCAGGAAATAGATGCACGCAGTCTATTATTTCTAGATTTTGGTCATTTGCTAATTTTGTTGACATTCGACTGGTGGCTTAATTACCCTACAAATGTTAAGGCGAGATCATGGTACCATAATTGGTGGCAAAGATATTAAGATTCAGCACATACCCATTATTAGGATTTTTTTCCTTTGCCCTTTCTCACCAATACGCAGTACCTATCTTAGGACTTAATCTTACGTTTACATTTGCACTAAATCAACTGGTGCATTGCACACGATCTTTTGGAGGTAAATTGTATCTTTGTTAGATTACTTTGTGAGAAATGTATGAATGCGTGTCACATAATTAAACTCAGGAATAAATGTCCCAAACATGCATGCTTTTTCGTATCATCATCTCCAAGGGCTATTTTTGTCCTTCGTTAATTGCTTCCTAAGAATGTACAACATGTCTACTTTGTTCAGGATAACCATGGCGATGGGACTCTTCTATTATGGCCTAGGGGATACCACAGCCACGTACGCAACAAACTTCCTCAACCTCATTCCCATAGTCACTTTTCTCCTCTCAACAATTCTGAGGTAGTCTAGGCAACCATCTTGTTTTCCATCTTTCTAGAGCATAAAGAACCATCTATTTTGATTTATGTCCCCCTCATTGTCATTTTTTATTTATATTAATAAAATTTGGATTGGCATCCAACCATGTTGAATGGGATTTGCCATCAAAAAAGAAAATGAAGAAAAAATGACCATCCATTTTGATTTTCCCCCATTTGCATGCTTTATATTGAATGGTTGTAGAATAGAAGAACTGCGGCTGCATACCAGAGCTGGTAAAATAAAGACTATGGCTGCAATATTATGCCTTGGTGGTGCACTGGTTATTGCTTTTTACAAGGGCAAGGCCTTCCACATCCCTCACCTTAACGTGGAGAAACATTCCATACTGAAAACCACTAAGCCTCGCAAGTGGACTCGGGGAACAATATTTCTAGTTTGCAGCTGCTTATCCTATAGTTTGTGGTTCATATCACAGGTAATCCACCTAACTACATGGTTTTAGAAAATGTTATGTTATAAACTATTATAAGGATTAGTAGATTAGTAATAAGATTTATAATCTGTGATGACATGATTTTGTTGGATTTCTGTTAGGTTAAGTTATTCCAACTATTCCCCTACAAGTTCTGGTCAACATTCTATACTTGCATCATAGCATCAGTGCAACAAGTAGTTATTGGATTGTGCATAGATAGATCCAAAGCAGCTTGGCATTTAGGATGGAATTTAGAGTTAGTTACCATCTTTTACTCGGTAAGAGTCTAATCAAATCTTTTATTCCAACATTTTCTAGGCTATGGACTTGAAAATTATAAATATACTTACTAGTATAAGATATTAACTAATTAAGTGTCGTAATTGTCATAACAGGGATCGTTGGCCACATCTGCATCATTTTGCTTGATTTCTTGGGCTATATCAAAACGAGGCCCAACTTATCCCTCTATGTTCAACCCCTTATCTCTTGTATTTGTGGCCATCGCGGAAGCGTTCTTCCTTGGGGAAGCAATCACCATTGGAAGGTAAACATCAGTTTATAAGTTAATTGGAGTATACATATGTTTCTTTTTCACAATTAATTGGAGATTATAATTATTGTTGTAGCTTGCTTGGTATGTTCCTTATCATTGTGGGCTTGTACTCTTTCCTTTGGGCAAAGAATAAGGAGACCAAAGCAATATTCAAGACTATACGTGCTAACGGTGAAGTAGAAAAAAGGTCAGTTGAATCTGCAGCTACTGTAGTGCCAGCACTATCTCCTCAGAACGACATAAATCATGGAGACAAAGAGCAACAGACGGACGCAGTTGTTCTAACCAGGGTTGAGGGCCTTGCTGGATAAATAAATATTATACCTCATTGACATTAAAAAGTACCTTACTTTTGCAAGGGAATTGTTTTTCCTTCATCTTGTTTCTTTTGAGAAAATCTTTTGAGTTGCAAGCGCTTAATTTCCTGATTGAAACTTGCAAATTGCTGTTTGACCATTTCCGTTTCATACTTTCTACTAATATAGTTTCTATACACATAACATATTTGCATGTGGTTATGTATTGATGATATATGAAATTGGTTTTCTAATAGGTACCCAATGGATATTTTTTAACATACTTTTATCAGACCCAACCTACTATGTGAACACATGCACTAACAATTATTACTGTCTATTGCATTTATACTCTCTCCTTAATTAAGTTTATTTTTTCAAAAATTTAACATCTAGTACACATCCTAACGAGTGCATAACAGATAGACCCTATGAAATTTTATGTTTTCATTTTTCAATTGGGTAATGTCTCAATTAACTTAACTTAATGGGTATGTCACTACATATCTAATTGAAATTAATGCGTGAATAAACAGTAGAATGGAGATACTCGTTCTGGTGCTAATGATTTTTATTTAAGCTTTTTCATCTCTATCTACGGTTAATTAAGTTGTTTATACTTATGAGAGCAAGAACTTTGTCGAAATTGGTCAAAAAGCCCACAACCTAGCCACCTTTTTTATATTCTCTTTTGTTTGATCAGTAGTAAAAGACGAGTTTGACCATATGTTTATTGTTAGGGATAATTTCAAAAACCTCCCTTGAGGTTTTAATTAATTTCACTGAACTTCCTTAAAGTTTTATAAATTACACTTACTCTCTTGATTTGACACTTTTAGTAACCAAATCTTAAAATAGGGTAAAAAAAAAAAGCTTAATGAAAATCCTAAAATGCCCTCATCTAATAAAGTTCAATTTATTCTTCTAAACAATTGTATAGTAATTTAGCACAATTACAAAGCAATAAATGTCAAGATTTTTATGCCTATATTTGTTGTTTGATAATTAGCTACAATAATAAATCTTATTAGGATAGGCTACTTTTAATAGTATGCTTTATTAGAGATAGAGATTCTTTTTAAGATAGAGAAGAAAGTGTCACAATATATATATATATATATATATATATATATATATAAAGTTTGTGGATTAATTAAGTGGTGGAACTACCATAGTTTAGTAGTGATTTTGGATAATTTATTTTTTTTAGTTATTGCTGATTTTTATGCCAAATGAATAAATAAACAAGAGCTGAAAAAGAATTAGTTGATATTCAAAGTTATTAAAAAATATTATTCCTTCCGTCCCACTTTGATAATCCTATTTTCCTTTTTCGTCTGTCCCAAATTGTAATCCACTTTTCAATTGAAGAATGTAGTTGTCTTTTAATTTCTCTAAAATACCCTTAGTTAATGTAAGTTGTTATTACTATAAACTACATTATTTAATATAGATTGTTAGTATTGAATATAACCTATCCCATTTAATGCATTTAGATTTTCCAAACATATTGATATATGAAAAGCCAACTTTATTTAATATAAGGGTATTTTAGAAAAATGGCAATCTAAATTTGTTTTTCTAACAAAGTTAACTACTTTTTTTTAAACTGTGTGAAAAAAAATTGGGACTATCAGAATGAGACAAAGGGAGTACTAGTTTGACATTTGATCATGATGGAAACTAGAAACTGAAAGTACTGTGATTTTACTGACAAAAAATAAAAGTAATGAATAAGAAGACGGCCACCTCAAAGAACATCAAGACCTATGCAAAAATTTAAAATACAGAAGTCCAACACTCTGAGAAAGAAAACAAATGTGTAGAGATGCTATCCAAAAGATAGAGACATGGTGGAGGAAGGCGTTTCAAACATTGCTGTCCATGCTACGAGAAACGGCAAAGCCTTGGTGAGCCTTACCTTTCTCTTTAATAAGTTGTTCCACTCTAAGCTTTTACTACTCGAGTTGTCATAGGCTTTATCCTTTTTAAAATTATGTATACACGTAGTGTTGCACCCCATTTTTATGAAAAAAATAACATTACAGGTTTATAAAAATGATTTTTGATTGATTAAATGAATTTTTGATTTGTTGAGAATAAACAAAGAAAAAGGGCCTAAAATGGGACTTAAAGTGTGACGATTTTGGCCCAAAAATAATAGTTTAAAAAGGGTTTTTAATAAAAAATAGGAGTCGCCACTTGGTATTGAGTTAAGGTGTACCAAGGCACCTAAAACCCTTTTTAAACGACTCCAACTCTTCGAAAATCAGAGAAAAAAGTTCGGGGGTCACGGTTGAAGAAAGGGAAGGCAAGAATAAATTCAAGGCACCCTTTCAACCTAGTCAAGGCTAGTTGCGTGATTTAGTCAAAAATTTTCTTATTTTAACCTAAAACTTATCACATTTGGATGTTACTATATGAATGCAAACCTATACCTAATGGCTATCGAAATGGTCAATATGTCTTTTCGAAACTTGATTGGTGCAAAACGCATTAATTACGACGCCCAAAAGTGATTCTTTGAAGAGATCATGAATATGCAACAATGAGACTTGAAAAAATAGAAAAATTATAATATATAGGTATACGTAACTTAAGGGAATGCATCATAAGGGATGCAGGGAACTAACACTCGTGACTTCAATTTTTCCTTTAATAGAGGGAATACGAGTGTGCTAAGGTTAGAGGCCATACTCGTCCATATCCCAAATTTAAAGGGTTAGTTCTCCTAATTTTTGGTCAAACAAATGATCTAACTTATTTCTAATTTTCCTAAATGAGATGCAAATCAAAATGTTATATTTCATACATAGGGATAAGGGATATTTATAGAGGAAATATCATGCAAAATGGTAAGGATCCTAAAAAGCAGAAAATATGCATGAAGTGTAGTGATTTGTCACACAAACATGATCTAACATATGGACGGCCCCTAAGGGTCTAGCGTTTGACTTACCCATGTTTATAAGTTCTCACTAGTGTTGGACTAGTGAGAAATCGGAAAAAAGGACCACAACTAGCGTTGGACTAGAGTGGTGACATCATGCATTTATTATAATCAAATAAATCATATAAAACATAATAAAAGTAAATAAACACATAAATCACATATAGCACATAACACATAAGTATGATATTTAGATGCAAAGATTCTAAGAAAGTGAGTAAACACATAAGCACACAAGCATGCAAACATATAAATAAAAGCGAATAAAGAGTTAACTATTACATTTGGGGGCCTTGACTACAATCTAAAAGGGGAAAGAATGAAATGAAATAAAATAATAGCCTAACTATTACAATTTGCCATTTAATCGCCTTTCAAATAATCAAAAATTAAATTAAAATAAATATACAAAATTAAAACAAATAAAACAAATAAATAAATAAATGAAACAAAATTAAAACATGCAATTACACACATAAAATCACATAGGAGCACACAGGATCAAGTAAAAGTAAAATAAAGAGTAGAGTATACCTCTCTTAAATTGGTGACCTAATGAAATGAAGTTTCTCTCTTTCTACCTTCCAACACAAAAAAAAAAATGATTAAGGTACCACTTTAATTAATAAATAATCATAAGATGGAAATAAACATGAAATTGAACAATTAAAGCGTTCAAATGAAAGTAAACAACCTATATTCAAGAATCTAAAAAAAAAAAAAGCAAGGGCCAAATTGAAACAATTATAAAAGTTTTAGGGGTCAAATTATTATTATTACAAATATTAGGGGTCCAAATTAAAATAAAATTAAGGATTCAAAACAAGGCCTACCACACCCAAATTCACAAAAGTAAATCAAATACCCATGAAAATATCACCCAAATCCTTAAATCTTTGATAAAACCCAAATAAAAAATTATCAATCTATACAAAAATATTAAACCTTGAATTTCATCCTAAAACTCATAAATAATCTATCCAAAAATCACATTAAATCATACCAAAGAAAATTAACATTTTAAAGGGACAATATTGATTGATTTTTCCAATTTTTTGGGCCAAATCAGAATTATTTAAAAATATAGGGGTCAAAATGCAATTTTGGAAAGTATTTCATGCAAAGCTTCGAACAAGCTTGCTGCAACTAAAACTTTCTGCAACCTCTGATGGTTTTAGGACTTCAGCAATCTCACGCGACAAAGTTTAACAACAATTTCAAACCAGAAACTAATCTCAAGTTCCATAAGCTTATTCTACATTCAAGGGAACGGAAAACTAGAATGGAAAAAGTTTACAAACTCCAGGTTCATCCAAAAAGATTTCCACCAGGTTTCTGGGTTTGCTTTATCCAAGTACAGACCAAACGAAATGAATTCCAAGCCAGATTATGCAACTGATGCTCTTTATTTCTAAAACTTAACGCCCAAGATACACAAAACTGGAAAAAGGGAAACAACGACAAGAGAATTATCAAAAAACAAACATGATAAAGCCATGGAATAAGCTCACCAAACCAGCGGCAAAAAAAGGAAATTTGACAGTTCACGCATGATAGGCTCTGATTTTTGCAAAAAATGTGTTAAATCAACACAAATAAGGGGGTAACATTACCTGATAATGATTTTGTGGTCAGTTGAACGTGAGATATGCCCAGAAACGCACGCTGATTCCAGAAACGAAGTTGAGAAATTCGTCGCAGAAAACTTCAGCAATGATGAACCCGATATTTTGGGTCCCGAATTGGCTTACTTAGAGTTGTTTTCTCACAGTAATTTGTGAACAAAATTTCTTCTATTGTCTCCCAGGAGTGTGTAGAAACCAAATGATCCCACAAAAAACTAAAATCGAAGGCAAAATCTGGCCCTGAAACAGGCTAGTTCGTCAGCCTGATGAAGAAAATTTTTCGGCAAGTTTTCTTCTTTTTTTGTACTCGATCTTCCCCCCTCCTTTTCCTCTCTTTTTCTTGTCCTAAGCCCTCTGTTCTTCCCCAGATTCTTCTTTTCCTGGTTTCTTTCTTTTCTCTTTCTTTTTCTCCTCCTCTCCCTTGTTTGTTCTTCCCCGAAACCCTCTTTTCTCCCTTTTTTTTGTTTCTTGCTCTCCACAGTCTCCTCCTTCCTCTCTCACTCTCCTCAGATGCTCTCTTCCTATCCCTTCCAACC